CTCTCTTCCTTCGTTTCTTTGTATATTACTCTCTATTAGCACTTCTTATACTTGGCACTTATTATCTGACCTACTTGTATTGCGATTGCTGTAAAACTTGTACTAAATAAAAAAAAAAATACAACCTTCTTCACTTTCTTCACCAGCAATGGCCGCCTGTTTGTTCAATGTCCTGTGCAGCCTTTCAGTGTTCACATTCTTTTGTTTGTAATAGAAATAAGCATGAGTAGGTAAATGTAAAGTTGACAGGTGATACCGGCTCTGATGGACTTCCCTCCAGCCCCTTCCACTTGAAATGAAAGCAAGGCCACAGTTTAACTCTTTTTCTCCAAGGGGGGGTAAACCCACTATGCTGAAGCCCTTTTTTGGTACGAAATGTAAAAGTGACATATACATGTCTGTAAATTGGTCATTAAATCAAAACAATTGAACCTATTTTGATACCGTATTTCTTCATCTAATGAAAGAAGTCCCGGTGAAAGAGACCTGTTGTCGGCAATTGCAGAAAACTAACTTGTCGTAAAGGAATATGTCCAAGTCGCTGCCATTGGCTTGCTGGAGATAAAGAGTTAACGACAGTGATCTTTTTAAAAAATCAGAGCCAACCTTACACTGGGAAAATCTTGTCAGAGAAACAGTGTGAATGTTTTGGCGGAGTTGAATGTTAACGCTGCATTTTTTTCCATGCTGGTTTCTGCAGGGTTGAGTGCTAGGGCTGCATTTTTTTCCATACTGGTTTCTGCAGGGTTGAATGCTAGGGCTGTATTTTTGGAGAGGGGTAAATTTTGAACTGGTTGGACATGAAAGGCTTAAGTGTGGTTTATGAGCATTTCTTGAACTGAGTAATTTTTTTCTGTTTTCCCTACATTTGTGGTGAAATGGTTAGGACACAGATGTGTTTTCTGTTACTAGGAAGATATTTTATCGAGTTTCTGCGTCTTTTTGCCAAACGTAGCATCACAGTTTGGTCAGTTTCTCAGGGCCTGGCAGGGGAAAGTACCTGCCTGTTTGAACCATTTCTTTGCTTAGTTTTTCTTTGGTACCTGCAAGTGTTTCGTGTGAACAGAGAGAGAGACAACATCTATAGACTTGCACACTTATTCTCACTCACATGCACACGCACACACGCACACACACATACATACACACACGCAAACACACGCTCACACAGACACACACAGACTCGCTTTTTCCTTCTTTTGCACCAAACAGTGTTACCAACACTTAGTCCTTGTTTCTTAACAGTGATCTAGTTCTTTTAGCGGTGGAGCTACTGAATATTTTATTTGTTTATATATCTGCTTGGTTTATGTTTTATGTGTGGTTCTTTGTTCTCCTAGACGAACCAAACGGAAGAAGATGTATGTTGTGAGCACCGCTAAACGACCGGTTCCTCTCGAGCACTTCCTGTACACTGGCAACAGTACCAAGACGTGCAATGAGCTGTTTCTCTTGCTGGACGCGAAAGGCAGTTTTCAAACCTCTGGGTAATGAAACATGTGATGTACAGCATAATCCAATGTCCAGGGTTATTTTCCATTGCGTATGTGTGTGTGTGTGTGTCTGTGTGAGTGTTTGTACAGTGGAAACCATGTATAACAGGCCCGGTAATAACATGGATCCGGTAATAACAGGGATCCGGTAATAACAGGGATTTTTTAAATCCCCGT